CCACATGCTTGTTGAAGATACACCAAGCTGCGTGCAGCTTCCCGTGTAGTCAGTGTAGTGGTGGTGTTAGTGCCTCCATGCAGTGTTGTCCTTGGACCTGCACTTTTTTTATTTTTTCATTTGCTACATTGTGCTTTGTTCTGTAAGTTTTGTTCTGTAACCCGCTGAACACACATTGACACCCCCTGCATATAGTTTGCCTACTGCCAAACGTCAGAAAAATTCGCCTGGAAACCTACTTTAGTTAGGTACTTACAATGCTTTGTTCCCCTTTGCAGATCTTATTTTTTGTCTATCTCAACAGTTTTTTTTAATGTTTTTTTATCGACCACGGCGTGCATCGCACGCATCATAGTACTGACGTATCAATATCCTACATGCCAGCTGTTTTGGTCTATTGTAGACTCTTTGTTCGTGGCGCTTTATTTCTTTGACTATCGGAGCAATGTTGGCTCTCAGAATACATTAAATTTCACCGTGGGTACTCATCAGTACTGGTCACAGTGGATGTCTCTATTTGTGGAGCAGATGTGCTAGCAGGCAGCTTGCCATGCCTTGCGTAATCAAGAGTGTGCAGAAGCTGTGAGCTCCTGCCGTCTTGGTCTATACTGTAATGTGTGTGTATACTGTAATCAAGAGTCCATAACCCCCAGAGTGTGCAACGCCACACAAATCTCTGTCACGACTTGTTTTCAACATTACGTCATCTTTATGATGTAATGACTGTGGTGATTCGCATAGTTGTTGCGGTGTCACGAATGTCGCGGCCTACACACGCAGCTATGCGCGGGTTCATTACATCATGAAAATGACGTAATGTTGAAAACGAGTCGTGACACGACTTTATCGCGCGTTGCACACTCTGGGGGTTATTGCCTCTTGCTGTAATGTGTATGAATGTGGTGCTTTGATTCATACTGTAATGCGTGTGGATGTGGTGCTTTGATCCATACTGTAATGCGTGTGGATGTGCTATGGCCTATACAGGCTCAGCCTTGGGTGGAACGCGGCCACTGTCCAGTTTCACGGCCGATGGCGGCGAGCCAGGATTCTATCTTCTCACATACCACCGATCTGTATTGTAGGGGTGTGGGTGTCATCATATGCCACCACTCTGCATTCATACCACTTACAGGGCGTCAAGGGCTGTGCAAGTTGAGGGCACCAAGTATGCACTTTGGGTCGGATTTCACCAAGTGCACAACCGTACATGTGTACCAACAGCAACAATGCAGCACTGAAGTTGCAAACGGCAGCAAGCAGTCAAGAAATCACAGAAAAGGCAAATTCTAGATTGCAATGGGCGGCAACATGCGTGAGCGCCCGCAACCCATGAATTGTGGTGCAGCAGCGAAATCGTTGTATTCGTGGATCCCTATTATGTTGCATGGGCCACGGGTGTGCGAATCAAACCGTAATAGAGTAGTTGACAATGGTGAAATGAATAACACATCGTGCAACAGTTGGTAGTCCCGGTATGATGTCCATTTCCACAAGAACAAAAACTTTGCCTTCATGTCACCTTGACAACCGGGTCCACAATATCCATGCAGCCTAGCCTAGCCTAGAATGCATACACTACTGATCAAGTCCTTACCCACCAAAGTATATAACAGGTAGTTCCGGGGTTTCATCCAGAAGAAGGAACAAATGAACAGGGCAGCTTACTAGCCACCTGCTCCGGCGTCTGACAGTCTGACAGTGGAACGACTGCACAGCTGTCACCGTCACAAGTACCTATTTTGATAGCAACTTTGATACCTCAAGTACCGATAATTTTGACAATGGCGAAATGCTGCTGCTGCTGCTACTGCTGCTGGCACGAGTCGACTTTAGCAAGTGGGCCTGTTCCGAGCATCAGTATCGCTATGTGTCACACATAGTCAATGGCACTCTTGTCACATCGTTGTACAGCATGACGACAGCAGCAATAGCATCCCCTCAGCGCTGGTTGGTCATCTCCATAATCAGTGCCCGGGGATGGGTCACATCGTGGCAGCCGGCAGAGCCGCATACGTGCTCTCTGGGTTGATTGGAAGCAGCATTATCACACTGTAGATATGGGTTAAGTGGATAAACAGATAGAACATGTTCTTGTAGATAAAGTTGGTCAGCTCCACCATACCCAGCAGGTACGTAGTGAGGCGGAACAGCAGCAAGACCAGGTCGGCCACGATCTGAAGCAGCAGGAACAGGCAGAATAGCAAGATGCTGGTGCGAGAGTAGCGACGCGTGTTCCGGTTCATCGACTGCTGGAACGACGAGAGGGTGGTGAAGTTCCAGAACGAGGTGAACTTGAGCGTGACCTCCAGCGTTATGCCAATCAGCAGCAAAGTTGCGACGAGCATGACAGGCACTGAGATGTAGAGATACGTAGACAAAGTTACGTGCTTCTGAAACTATACACAGCAACACACACACACGCACACACGCACACGCACACACACACGCACACACACACGCACACACACACACACACACACACACACACACACACACACACACAACCGGCAGAAACAAACCGAGAACACAAGTGTCCAACAACAACCGTCAGATGGCGTGAGAGCAGTTTGAAGTGTGATGGAAGAGAGACGCGAGTGTCAGTGGAAAAGGACTGCTTCACCCTTTGGTGCCAGGTCGATTTCCACATATGCTGACAGTGCATGCTAAAGTTGATCGCAGAGCCAGTCTCGTACATGTAAGATGCCTGATTTTGTTTACAGGGACCCCTTAGTGTAAAACAGTGAAAGTACAACACCCTTGATGTGGATGGCGAGGTTGAACATATTGAGTCCAAGTGAAAACTCGGGTTGAATCAATTATGCTGATTGCTCGTCATTTTACCCATCATTATGATCATTATGGTCGTACTCGATAATCGTTAAAAGTATAGTTGTGAGAGTGACCATGCAAAGACACGTCGGCGGTATGCGTGGGTGCCAGTGTGTGTGCGGTGCAAAAACCGACTGCGTAGTCGTGGCAAAGTGTGAGAACCTGTCACGTTATCTGTTAACCAGCGTTAACCAGCGTTAACCAGCGTTAACCAGCGTTAATAACCAATGATTAATTTTAAAAAGCATATGATTAAAATAGAAGAAATCACATGGAAACGAGTTACGAAGCAACTATCCACGACTGTAACAAGATAATACGCAGTCAGAAAGTGCGATAGCAGAGCCGCACAACACAGACAGGCTACTGAGACATTCAACGACCTGAGACCTAGCTCCAACAAATCTCCAGTGCAAGCCAACAGCCTTCCAGCTTGGAAGGTTCAAGGTTATGGTAGGACCGATGAGGGGAAGGTGAGCGCAGCGAAAACGTGCACAAGCTAAGTCCCACGGCAACAAAGAATGCCGACCGTTACAGGACGCTTTCTGACTGCTTATTATCTTGTTAGTCGTGGGTAGTTGCTTCATAACTCGCCTCCATGTGATTTCTTCTATTTTAATTGAATTTACCGGCTCAGTACCAGAGTTAAATAATGCCCATGAAATGTGCTTATCCAGAAAATCTTCCGGGCCGACGGCCTTTCAGCCAACAAAATATTGGGAAACACTTCAAAACAAGCAGGTCAAGACAATCACAGCTCTAGATCATAATATCCATGATGGAGAGCTGTGATGCTAAGTGCATGGTCTGGGTTTCATACCACTGACTCTTGCTCATAGAAACACCGAGAGGATGACTTTTTCTCAATCATTGCTTACCACTCCTAGCTCGTTGCACACAGACATAATATCCAGGATCTCCAAGATGCTCTTCTTGGTACTTTGGAGCAGCTCATAGACCACTTCAAACGGCTGCTCTCGCTCCGCATCCGTCTTGTTGTACAGATAGGATAGGTTGAAGCACATGTTGACGATGAACGTGAACGCCAGAAAGCTATGCGGTATGATGTGACCTAGCACGTCGGCAGTTGTGTCCAGCACGAGCCAGTAGATACGAGGTGACAGGTACACGCACACGTACACTATCCACGCCACGTAGTGCACTATGAACGCATCGCCGTTGGTGGAGAAAAGGAATGCATACAAGCTGTATTTCTGAGCAGAAGGACATGAACACAGAGAGAAATCATTGCAGCTGGTTCTGAAACGAAATGATTGCAGCAGTTTCTCAGCACCGTGGTATTGCGTAGCCACAAGTATCTTTGTCATGTGACTCAGTTTGTGTAGTGATCATGGCATGTGTACAGTTGAACCAACATGGCCGCCATCATGCGACCCATAGATGCAAGTGTTGACTGGAGTTGGAACCAACAGGGCTGTCAGCCAGCAGTGCCAGGGATGGTCATGTGGTACATGTGAAATTGATCTACTGTAAAACCGGAAAGTCTAACGAGTCACAAAGTCTAACGTTTTAACGACCAATTTTTTTCGTTATTTGAAGAAATGTTATCACGAGATATCTGTGTAAAGATGTGCATACAAATGGGTGGCCACTGGCCAGGTAGCCATCGTTAAACTTTCTGCACGTTATCACGCCAAAATTACAAAAAAACGTTGAACTTTTTGGTCGTTTAACTTTCCGGTTTTACAGTATACAGGTCATATGCGTACCGTAAAGTACCGTTAATCCGCCCCGTCTCTAACTGCCGCCCCGTCTCTAACTGCCGCCCCGTCTCTAACTGCCGCCCCGTCTCTAACTGCCGCCCCGTCTCTAACTGCCGCCCCCTGTTGAATTTCTGCCTGTGAAGCGACTTCAGCGTATACAACGAAATACGATGTTGAACCGACGCATGTACTGCTGTACACCGTGTGTGCGAGTGCAGGTTCATACTACTACATGTAGATCAGCCTGCAATCTATTGTACGGAGATACACAACGCAATGCAGTTAGTTAGGGTATGCATGTGTGTGTGTGTGTGTGTGTGTGTGTGTGTGCGTGCGTGCGTGCGTGCGTGCGTGCGTGCGTGCGTGCGTGCGTGCGTGCGTGTGTGTGTGCATGCATGCATGCAAAATTTAATGTGCACACACACGAGTTTGTGTGTATAAGCAGAACTGAACGCAAAGTCCTGTCTTACATTGAGAGGCTGGAAGACAGTACCAATCTGGCGTGACGTGCTACACATGCCGATACAACTGTAAGTGAAGATGCGCGGTACTATCAGTAATCCTATGATAGTGCCCAGTGACAGGACTATTGTCACTACCCATAGTGGGTATAGCTTGCTCCTGCCACACACAGTCAGTACAGATATGCAGAAAAGAAGGAGAGGAGAGGAGTTATGCAGAGAAGCATTCACACACACGCACACACACACACACGCACACGCACGCACGCCCACACCCACACACACACGCACACATGCACGCACGCACGCACGCACACACACATGCACACACAAGGACATGTGTGTGCACGAGATAGACAGACAGACAGACAGACGGACAGACGGACAAACGGACGGACGGACGGACGGACGGACGGACGGACGGACGGACGGACGGACGGACGGACGGACGGACGGACGGACGGACGGACGGACGGACGGACGGACGGACGGACGGACGGACGGACGGACGGACGGACGGACGGACGGGCGGGCGGACGGGCGGACGGACGGACGGACGGACGGACACCCAGTCATACAAGCAGCCAGGCAAGCTGGGAGGCAGTTGCCGACCTTAACGGTGACAAAACGGCACTTGATCCCATCAAGAAAGTAGCACGTACAAGAAATGTGACTGGACCACTGCACAGATGGACAGAAGTGATCATGGCGTTCTTTCTCAAGAAGACTAGTATGGTCGAAACGTCAACTCAGTCGTGATCACTTCCGCCCTTCTGTACAATGGTCTAGTTACCTTTCTCAGACAGACAGGCAGACATGCAGGCAGGCAGACAGACAGGCGGATAGACATGCAGGCAGGCAGACAGACAGAATACAGTTTGAATCATCTAACTGGACCTGCACTGGTGTGTCATCGTACGTTCAAGTGTCTAAGTCCCTGTGTACCTCTGAGTACCTCTGAGTCCAACACCCCATGCACACTGCAGAGACTTCAGAAGGTATTTTAGTGTGGTACGGTCAGCCATCTGAAGTACAGTTTACTCGTGGGGGAGAGGTGGCTGAGCCGGAAATTTTGGAATTTTAGATCCCAGATCAGTGTACTTTATTGATTCACGGGGTACCTGGGGCAAAAAGTGGTACGGTCAATACCGTAGTGACCGCAGGCCCGTCGCACCGACTTTGGAGGTGGGGTGGCCATGGAAGGGGGTCCGGGGTCGTCCCCCGGGAAAAAATTCAAAAATTGAAGCCAATTGCAAGCATTTCCGGGCATTTGGTGCCATTTCAGTGTACATGTAACTAAAATGAAAGACTTTTTGATCCTGCAAAAAACCTTGCAGACGCTACGATCGGGGACAAACATTACCCGTCGCACCGACTTTGGAGGTGAGGCGGCCATGGAAGGGGGTCCGGGGTCGTCCCCCGGGAAAAAAATAAAATTGAAGCCAATTGCAAGCATTTCCAGGCATTTGAATTGGTGCCATTTCAGTGTAACTGCAATGAAAGGCTGTTTTGTTTCTGCAAAAAAACACGATCGGGGACAAGGATTTGCCACGTTTGCGCTGAGCTGCTATCATCGATCATTGTTGCAGTGTGCTCCGAAAAAAAAGGCCGAAAAAGTGGGGCGGCCTCAGCCGCCCCAGCCGCCCCGGCTGTGACGGCGTTGGACCGTACCGTGTCCGACGCCCCTGCACAGTCTATGTGTATGTATCTAAGTCCCTGTACACCCCTGAATCCCACACTTCATGCAGTCCATGCAGTCCATGAAGTATATGACCTTTTAAAGGTAGCAACTTACACTGCAGCATTGTTCTCCACGTAGTACGTGAACACGTACTGGAAGTAGCTGATCTGGCAGACGAAGGAGATGAGAAGCAATACTCGTGATACGTCGCGTACCCAGTTGCCGCACGACGTGATGTTTGGCGGGTCGCTGGAAACGAGCGGCGGAATCGTATCGCGTCCGCTGATGATGTCCTTCGCCCAAATCCAGTTAGCACTCAGGGATTCTATGTCTGAACAAGAACAAATCAGGAGTAGAATACAGCCATGCTGACGTCACACCGGTTCCTGATATTTGCACCTTGTAAACACATGTGTTTCACACTTTCCGGGATGTTGTACAAATATCTCCCTGTTATTGCAAACATTATTCTCTTGAAGTTGATTGTTCCAACTAGGTTCTAAGTTCATAATATTCTCTGTCAGCGCATACCACACATCCGGTTATCTTCCACTTGCTTGCCAACGCATATTTCTAGATCTAAATTAGCTACAGACACCTTGAAGATAAATTAGATTTTTTATAGCAGGATCGACAAGACTCCAAGACTGTGACAAGAATAAGATTGGTGAGAGCGACAGTGCACATCTGATCCCATCAGCTGAGATTCAAAATAATACCAATACTGAACGTAGGTTTTTCATGGGTACAGAGTGTGAGCACTGGTGAATAGGCCATAGACGTCACGGAAAACTGTACTATGTACTACAGTTGAACATTGATTATCCCACCGTCGTTATCCTATCATGCGATTATCCGGAATGGGCTTTCGAACCGCACGCGGCTCAGGCTACGCATTGTCGTACGGGAGCTCGCACGAAAAGTTAAAAAAGAAAGAAAAGTTAGGGGGGGAGGGGGAGGGAGCAAGACAGGCGCAGTGAACTGACATATCAGGAACAGAGTTGGCCCAAACCCACATTCAACCCACTCTTCAACATCTTGGCCATAGTGATACAAGAGCAACACCAAGTACCACAAGGTACGGGTCGGAATGTAATGATTCATACACAAGTGCACATGCACGCAATGTATTTCCCATACAGTTCCTGCTTTTCTTACCGGCATATTTCGACCTAAGAAAGATCAGGCCACGATGGGGCAGGAACGTTGGTTAAGACTTGCGTCAACATGCCCAAAACGTGCCCACTTCAATGGACACACAGAGTGTGTGGCATGGATCCAGAGTGCATACACATGCAATGTGTTTGTAGGAAGAAATCTCTAGGCACTAGCTGCGCGAGTGCAACGGAAAAAATGGACCACAGTCAGCTAAAACGTCTTGGAGTGAACATTTTCAAAAACAATATTCCAGAAGTTGTCACTTTACCCTCCAGCTGCTTGAAGTAGAACACCGAACAAGTGTGAGAACAAGGTTCGACAAGATGCTATCGCCAACGGCTGATGAACGAAGCACAGCATGAACGCGGTAGACAGAAACAATTTTCCATAACGTCTCCAAAAAATTACGAAACCCCAGGGACATTTTTTAGCTGACCTCGGGCCCAGATGTCCGCATACGTCATCAGCTATCACAAAGTCACGGTGAAGTGCAAACCATAAACCGTGAATATTCGGTTCACTAAATTTTGCAGTTTCTCAGAAGCAACGGCTACACGATGGCAAAAGCTCGTGGAACACCGTTGCCACACGCTAAGCTTTACGTTACACGGCGCAAGTTTGCGAAGTCCAAAGTTTACGATTCAGCCCCTCTCCCGAAAATCACAAACAATACCAGGCACACCCATACCTCGGTTATCCGGATCCCACAGTTATGGGCACTTTGGTCTGCCCGGCGCCCTTTGAGCGAGTCTCGTAGTGGAAATATTACAACTCTTTTGTCACTTCTGTGGAAATAGCGACGTCACATGTCATATCTATGGTCTTTCCCCATCAACATGTGTGTGATTCGGAGTTACGGACATTTCAAAGTTACGGGCAGTGCTTGGTCCCGGACCGCCCGGATAAACGAGCAATGAGTGTATGCTGTCTTGAGGATTGCATGTACTCGTAAAGGCGATCACGACAAAATCCCTAGTACACACTTTGACAAGCTTACCGTCAATTTCAGTAGCTGTACTTGTGTCTCCGCACATCTTTAACTAACTTTCAAAATGATGGCGTCACTGTGCTTGGTTACATGTGTTGGCTGTCATGCAGTCGGTCAGGGACTCACAGTACCGACGGAGCACAGTGCATGAATATGCGGGCAGCAAGCAAACCTCACCCAAGAGAAAAAGGGCACGCCACAGCAACACACCACAGCAACACGCCACAACGACACACCACAACGACACACCACGACACACCACAACGACACACCACAACGACACACCACAACGACACACCACGACACACCACAACGACACACCACCACAACGACACACCATCACAACGACACACCACCACAATGACACACCATCACAACGACACACCACAGCAACACACCACAAACAGAAACAATTAGTTTTAGAGATACAGCATGAAGGCGGAATTGCAGAACATTCCTGTAGAAACACTTAGAAGATTGGCAAACATCAGCTTCCGCAAACAGCAACATCCTGAACATTTCAACGGGTATACTTTCAAGCCTATAGTTTACACACACAAGTTAAACTCACCATTCCATTATCATCAGGCCTGCCCAAACCGGGCCAAAGTCACATGATTTGTTGATTTATCATCACATTCATCAGGGACGACACAGTGCAACAAAGTGAAACTAAACAGCAATGCCTTTTCATGTGAAATCAACGTTATGAGTAACAGCTTTCAACCGTTTGGGTTTAAAACTTGCGAATAACGGCACTATCTTCTGACTTCCAGTACTGCTCAATGACATCCGATAGCCTGAGTCAAGTTTGCGCCCTGCACCAGCTCACACAGCCCAGTGTTCTAATGCACTGGACTCACTTGATCGGATTTCATTGAGCAGAACTGCAGACTGTAGTAATCATTTGACTGCATGCTTCCAACCTCACACAGGGGCGTCGGGCATGCTACGGGCACTACGGTATTGACCGTACCACTGTTTGTCCCGGGCATGATAGCTCTACCCTGGGAATCAATAAAAGGCATTGTTTTATGCTCTAAATTTCGAAATTTTTCAGAGGAGCCACCCTTACTCCACGAGTAAATTGTAGTCAACTTCGCTAATAACGACTGCGGATATAAAAATTCGCGGATAACAATAGAATTTACATGCCCAGAGCAAAGTCCCATCTAACTGTAATACATATAATCATCGGAGACTTCGGGTATAAAGACACTTCGCGAATAAGGTCACTTTTCTGATGCCCCGCCGAGTGTCGTTATACGCGAAGTTGACTGTACTTCAGGTGGTTCACCTTACCACCCTAAAATACCTTCCGATACCCCTGTGACAAATAACAACACTTGTTTGTGCCCGATTGAGGTACATCATTCGCAAGGTTGACTGTAGATTGCAGATAATTCTAGTATTATCCATTCTCAATCAAAGAGAAACAGCAACCTTTTGTGCTGCCATGTCGGACTCGAAGTGTATACAACTTCATCACAAGAGCCCCCCGCCCCCTCCCACAGATACAAACGTGTGTGCGCATGCACATACACACACGCAAACGAACCAGACTCCGCCACCATCAATGAAACCGCCGCACTCATCAGAACACAACACACACACACACACACACACACACACACACACACACACACACACACACACACACACACACCATTGACCATTGACCATTGGACGCCCATCGCCAGAGGCGATGATAGCGATGCTACAGCAGAAGCCATAGCAACTTGTGCTGGGATTGCACCATTCAACAGCTTGCAAGGCTGAAGAATTGACCACCACTATTCAGCCTGGTCTACACCACACAGCTTTGAAGTGGCTTTTTTCTGGCCAGTGAATCCCTACTTTTTGGTCTTTTTATTTTATTTTTCCCGCACACACATCACACCACATACTCCGGCATGCACACACACACACACACACACACACACACACACACACACACACATACACACATACTGATACCAATTCAACAGCGACGAAACACAGGACTAGTCTACTGCGAATGGCCCGTGCAGCGGGACCATGGATTGCAAACTTACAGACAAATCTCGACAAGCTCCATGAAACAACTCCTCCGAAGCTACGGAGCGGCAACTTTTCGGTTGAGAAAATCAATAATGGTTGAGCTGTCCCTGCTTGGTGGTGGATTTTCTCTCCCCGTCCTCTGCCAAGTTGCGCTGCCGTACCCACTGCTGTGCGCTAGCTTTCGGCAACACCCGCAAACCTAAGCACGACACACGCTAGTGACGGGATAAACCACTGCTGACAATTCTCACGATCGTCGTCGTCCTTGCGTTCGCATGTCCAGGACTGCATGGCAGTATCGGACGGTACTTCGTGGTCTGCATTGCACTCCCACATGAAGCTTTGCCTTCGGGACGTGTCTTTGTCGCATGGACTTGCGCTCCACGACGTTGTATGTGGACATGCCTAGCGCACCTTGCAGGCACAGGACTCTGGAGAGCGGACGCTAGAGAGGAGCGGACACAAGCAAAAGCGTTCGACCAGAGAACCATCTTTCCTCAGTTCCGTTTTCAGTTGGTACTCAGTCTCAAACGCACTGCCGTCTGCCATGCATGGTCTGCTGCGCAGTGGAATGCCAGAGAAGGAAGAGCAACAGCAACGCCTCACCTAGTAAAAGTATTTTCGGCAGGCGAGTCTTGATCCATGGTCTTGCATGCTTTCGGTATTGGTGTACCAATACTGCCATAGCAAGAGTAGATAAACAAGAGTGTGCAACTCCGGATCTCTCCTGCACAATCTGCAGATACCCCGCGCCCACGGCGGAATTTTTTGTTTACGTCACCTTTTTTCAGAGAAACGCGGCTTTGCCGCGCAGAGCAGTGTGAGAGCACGTGCTGGGCACCGACCTTGTAGTGTAAAGCCCAGCCAAGTGCACGAGGGAAAACTCTCCAAAACGGCAAAAGGCTCGCAGCGCGTGCGTCGTCGAAAAGATTACGTCAACAAAAAATTCCGCCGTGGGCCAATCCATCCGGAGTTGCACACTCTTGTTTATCTACTCTTGGCCATAGCAATAGTCAGGTTCCCCACTACCAAAACTACACGTACCTGGATTTCCGGTAGGCCATGACTTCCTAGCGAACAACGAAGCAGAACCCGCCATGTTCACACAGTTCTTCTACTCGAGACGAGATTTCGAAGGAAGTGATTGCAACGCAGCGGCATCCTGAGTTCATCTGATTACATTCACCCTTGGATCAGTGGCTGAATCTGCAGCAGCCACTGGAGGCAGCTCGCACCAAGATTTGGCGGAGCTTCACACTACATGTACTAGATCTACAGTGTAGACTTGAGCCTCGAGACACGATAAGAGTGGAGTAGATACTAGCAAGAGTACATACACCAAGAGTACATAACCCCTGGGTTATGTACTCTTGATACTAGTAGAAGTACTGTAGTAGTTATAGTAAGGTTGATGATGTACATGATTTTAGCGCTAGCACTAGTAGATCTACATGATTGATTATTTGTAATACATTGTGATAAATTACTAATGTAATAATCTTGCAGCCCGGAGTATATCTCACTCTCACTCTGGGTAGTACTGTCACTACAACATGACACAGTGTGTGGTAGATACTATTTAAAAACATAGCAGCGTTATTACTTGAGAACGCGTCTATTCACAAAGCCAATTGCATGAAACCAGGAAGTGGTAAAAAGACAACCCAAAATTCGGCTTTAGTCGTGTATTGTTTATTTACGGATTCTCCAGATCAGAGGCAAATGGATGCCTATATTAGTACCCATCTTGAGAGTCTCTCCAAAGCAATAGAATAATGAAAACATAATAGTAGGGAATGGACGTAACTCAAATTAATAAGCTGGGAATGACGGTATACGAGAGATCAATGACTATGATCGGGGGTTAGATCTACCTACTGCAGACTACAATCCTGTGCTGCCGGCCATGCAGTTGACTCTACTGGTCAGGTACAACTCCTTCAACCAGCAGCTGCAAAGCAGTTGTCAAGAAGTAATGTTTCTTGGCGGCGCCTATTGAGGTCATGTTCAGTTCATTCGGTCTGTGCATTCAAATCCACTCTCTTCTGCAACGAAGCAGTAGCGTGACACGCTGCGGCGTTCCTTGTGATGATTCGACCGTGATCTTGACGGTTGTGGAGTTATGCCAGTGTGATTGTTAGAGTGTGCTTGGTTTCACTGCGGCTCATGCATCCCTTCACTGAGTCCGTGGTCAATGTTCACAGTGGAGCTACTAGGCTACAAAGCAATAAGCTCATTGCGCATTGCCAAATATGGATTGAATGAGTAATGCATGTGAGTGCGCTGAGATCAGGGATGAACTGCTCAGCACCCCGGACGACCACGCCCAGGTGGCTGTGTGGGGTGTTCGCGGTGTTCGCGGTACAAATTACATCATTGCGCAATGGGCTAACTTAATAGCCGCAATGATGGATGTGGGTATGAGATCAACTTGTAGAACCATGTCATTGTGTTTGCTGTTGACAAAAAGCAGCAGCACTATTCATTGAGCTCAAACTCGCGGAAGAGACGTTCTCGATGTGCAGCAGGAGCCACTGGAGAAGGTGCAGAAGTAGCAGAAGACGTGACGAACTCTCTCCTCGTGGTCCCGGCGGAAGCACCGACCAGGAAGAGGCCTGTCGCTGGAACGCTTGAGCCGTCCAACGCATCTGGCGTGGTGCGTGCACTGCTCAAACTTCTCACGCTGCTCACACTGGCTGCCGGTGCGATCCAGCCGGCCTTGAGCTCCTCCGCTTGCACCAGCAGTACAAACAGACTGTGCATGTAGCATAGGTTGACGATTATGTAGTACAGGTTCTTGTAGATGAACGGCGAGATGATGCCATTCATGTCGAACGCAATGAGCAGCCGAACGCTGAATATGACCATGTCGGCAACCAGCGACAGCAGCAGATAGACAACGAGAAAAAGAGTGGAGCATCGGCCATATCTATTCTGCTCTGCATCGGTTGACGTGACCAGTGTGCGAAGTGATGTCAGATTCCAGAGACCACGACGCCGGTAGTAGACTTCCAGCGTGGTCAGGACTAAGTGTACGGTGACAGCGCCCATCACGAGAAAACTCCACAGGAAATACGTCTCGTTGCCCATGGTGCCTTGCAGCTGTGCGCAGAGAAACAGCCAGCCAACACTCACCCACATGTACACACATGCATGCACATATACACATACACACACATGTACACATACACACACCCACACCCACACCCCCCCCCCCCCCACACACACACACACATACACATACACATACACACAAACACACACACACATACACACACACGGAAGAGAACCATTAAAAGAATGTAAGGAGACCATGTATTTGTTAAACCTAGATCGTATTATTGTCTCCGACTACGTCAACTATTCACCAACTAGAACGTTAGTGTCAGTAGAGGTCTTATTCTGCATCAGGGAGTACAGGTCCTCCCTCATTATAACGAGTCCGGTATGTACATAAACCCCGTTAGTAAATAGAAATCTGAAGTCCCCTGGCGAAACGTGGTCTATACAACTGTTTACAGGTCCGGTTACAACATAATCCGTTAGTACATAAAATTCGTTATAACGACCCTTTGCCCAGGTCCCTGGAGTGCCAAACCCTCAGTATAAGATAATATTGACCATGCAGGACCAAGGCCAAAACACGTAGGATAAAGCAGAAAGAGGAAACGTATTATGTCTATGTATTCGTGAATATGGACGAGCCTTTGCATCCAAGGAAGAGTTATGTTGGAGTAACTTGGAGATTTTCAATTATCTTATAACGAGTTGAAGCATCGATAATTTATGTTGTATCGAGGGTAGCCCCGGTAAGTACGAAGTAGTGCCTATTTCACCTTTAGCTGCAAGTCCTGCTACAAGATAAGTCTCGTTATAAGATAACTTTTTCGATGGCCCAGAGATTATCTACTAACGAGGGAGGACCTGTAGTAAAATACGGTAATTTAATTCTCCGTGTTCTGGATCACGAGGATCTCACTCCATTACTTACAGAACCCATGGAATTCATTATAGCCTCCAGGTCCAGGATCTCAAGAACACTCTTCTTGGTGGCATTGAGCAGCACATAGATCACTTCAAACGGGTCACCTCGCGTCGTATCCCCAATGTCATACAGGTAGCCCAAATGCATGCTCACGTCCATGATGAATGTGAAGACGAGATAGCCTTCCGGTATGATGCTGCCGAACGAGTTTGGTGTAGTGAAGAACAGCATCCATCCAAGTCTTGGCACCAGGGAAGCCAGTACGTAGATGACCCAGCCGGCGTACTGGGGTACATACGAAGCACCGCCGGTGGCCCCGTACCATTGCCGTGTGCCGTTGTCCTAGATGCACACACACACACACACACACACACACACACACACACACACACACACACACACACACACGTCCATACGTTAGAGATTAACATAACAGCTGCCATCGCAACATCTGGACTGGTTTGGAATTAGCACAGACCTTCTCTCCCTCTCCATCAGGTCAATGTAAGTACTGCGCCAAACCAGCACACGCCTGTACAAAAACCTCACAAATACAACTGGACAGTGCTAGATGTATGCTAGATATATGCTAGCTCTTACCCCCAGCGGTGTGAACAGGTGTACTGGTGCGCAATGCCAGATATACTCAAACAAGACCAAGTAGAGAGGAAGGTAGATGCGTGGAGCTAGCAGCATGATGAGGAATACCATCAAGGTGAGTGCATCGGGTAAGGCCCAGAAGAACTGGCGTGTTGACCTGTGGCAGTAACCATGGGAACACAATGAGGTACCATTTGTTTAGGTAGACCAATGGCACTCAGTAACCATGGGAACACACTGAGATACAGTGTGGTTTGGCCGCGGTCACACCAAGCGCGATTCAGCCATTCAGCGGAAAAAGCACTTTTTGACGTCATCGTTGCTACAGAAATGGCTGAATTTTCGGCTTCAGCCATTTTCAACAGTCAGCCATTTTCAAAGCGCTGAATGGATTCAGCCACTTTCAGCCATCCTAGCACAGTGGCGGGAAAAACAAACTCCTGCAAATTCAAAGAGCACCTTGCCATCGATGCATCGTGTTCTGAAATTCTCCGGCTTTCGTTGTTTGTTTCGTTGTTTGTCCAACTTCTCTCATTGCCTGCTGTGTGTTGTCGTCATCTTTCCTTGTGCGCTTTCTACGAGGTACGATTTGGTTCGGCAGCGTCAGAAAAGGGAGACAATTGTGCGATAGAAGCATGCGCACCATGATGTGCGTGCAGAGCAAGATGCAGACAATGGCACGGAGTCTAGTTAGGATCCATAGCTGCACTCCAAGCTCAACCTCCCTCAATTTTTCAACCCCAGAACAAGCACCCTGATTCCAATGTGGCAATTGAAGCTCCCAGTACCAAAACTCTGCTGATTGCCACGTACATGTTCAACAGAAAATCAAAATAATTCGAAATTCAAAAAAATCAAAATTCAAAAATGAACGCGAAGAAAAAACCTCTACAGCACGCAAAACAAATTCAGTGGATCCTTGGGTCGATGTGACCAACCGCTTCATTCAGCACAAGCCACTTTCAGCACAAGCTGAAAACGGCTTGTTTGGTGTGACCGCGGCCTTAGGTAGATCTGTGATGGTGGTAACAAGAATGAGTTACTGATCCGTGATGATAGTGTATGACTCATTATTGACTGTATACAGTGTGGCATGGTGGTGGTGCATCTGTATGCATGCATGCACATTGACACACACACATACTTGAAGTACATGTACTATACACACACACACACACACACACACACACACACACACACACACACACACACACACACACACACATGTGCTTGCACCTCCTCGTCCCCCCCCTCCCCCCCCACACACACACATACACATGTGCTTGTACCTCCTCACCCCCCCCCCCCCCCCCCCACACACACACACACACACACATAACTTGTTACACACACACACACACCTCACACGCAACAGCCATTGAGTTATTTACTGACCAGTGCCTTGCGGCATTTTCCTCCGCCGACTGATAGTAGCCTTGAAACAGGACGACTTGCATAGCGAACGTAACAATCAGAAGAGTCCGCGCAACATCTCTGATAAAACTCCGGCATGGCCGCAGTGTCTGTGGGTGGTCATTAAGCAGAACTATAGGCACCTCCCGGCCAGAGACTACGTTCGCAATCCACCTGTAGAATGACTCTACATCCGACGCAACTTCTCCCGTTGCTGTTGCTGCAGCACTTTCGGCCGTCGCCGCCGCCGCTGCTGCCATTGCAGGTCAGTGTGTTGAGGGCAGGGTAGTGAATGCAGTCTGTGAGTACTGTACTCGAGAATTCACCCAACCATAGTACACGACTGTAGGGTGGGGTGCTAAAGAACTGGTGGGTCAGAGCCTTCTTACAGCCTGGACAATTCTTATTATCATGTACAGCAGTCCAATGTGCAGTAGAGTCACCTTGCATATACCGGTATCGCTATGCTGTGCTTGGTGAAATTCTAGCCTGTCCTGGGGCTTTCAGCACTGAGTTCTTCAACAGTGCTGTCCAGTAACCACAGTGCTAGCACTTGTCCTAGTCCACACTACACTAGACTGTTTTTTAACCGAAGTCAATGCCGATTCACTTTTTTCCTCCAGGCACACCCAGGAGAGTGAGCAACAGTACAGCAAGGAGGTGAGGTCGAAGTCTGCGCTCAAAACTACGTGTAGCGAGCGCTCCGGCGTACCAGCGATTGTTTGCATCATGCAACACAGGACCTCGATACGCGCCCGCAAATCACAGACATTTCCCATAGGAAGTGGAAGCCACCGTTGAATGCTCGACAGAAGTAGTTGGAGATCCAGCGAGCGCGAAATGCAACCTAGGCTTATTCCAGACGTAGCGAGCATTCTCCCAGCGGTAAATGGCGACGCACATTGACACACTACCGCCAGGCCCACATATCCATCAGCACGGTTAAAACTAAGCCGACCACCTCACCACCACTGCAAAAGGTACAATGTCGGTCTACCCTGCTGGGGCAAGGCAGCCCACAGACAACAAGGAAGCGGATTCAAACGCTGTACTCGGTTCGAACCACCGCTTCAAGCTCAACTTCAAGCTCAACTTACTTCAAGCTCAAGAAAAGTATCTACTATTATGCAGATCTAGATGCCTTGGCTTGCACCACCAATACTACAGTCCATTCCATATAAGTGGGCACTCTTTTCCATCCAGTCAAAGGGCCATTGTGTATGCCCCATGGATTCTACATGTCATGTAGAATCCATGGGGCATAGACTCTACGCAATGGCCCTTTCCTTTGATTGGATGGAAAAGAGTGCACACTGGCCCTTTGACTGGAAAAGAGTGCACACTTATTTGGAACGGACTGTAGGCTAGTATAATGGTCCATACTTGGACAACAACACTCATGGTTACCATGGTTACTTGTAGTAAGTAGTAGATCTACAGTACTGGCAACTGAAATCCGACCCCTGAGCGATGCGCTCACATCGCAAAGACCGTGAACCCACCGCTCAGGGGGTCGGATTTCAGTTGCCAGCACTATACCTTCGAACTAACTAACTTACTTCTGACTGTTGAGTCCAGTAAAACGGATGTGTTGCTGTAGTGTTGATACGCAGATTGTAGCAGTATCTCTATCGTGATTCAAGTCTGATATCAAGAGTACAGCATTTGAACCCGGGACCAAGTCTCCGAGTGCAAAGGACAAGAAGCAGCTGCACATGCTCATACGTCACGCCGCTCCGCCAATCAGCGTCGACCATGTGCTCCAAACTTCCAGAATAGGACGTGTGCGCATGCTCCAGCAAACGGTTCTTTTCGGCAAGGAGGTCGTCTTCCTCGTGCACTTTGCTATTCTCTCTTCTTTTCCTTCGGCAAAGTAGAGAGTCTTGGCCGTATTACCTTTCGGGCCTTCGCCCTTTCAACGTAGAATACTATTGGTAAGCGGACGAATAGCGCTTTGCCCAGTGCTCTAGCGAACCTCCTCTCCTCTGGTGGGACATGAGACATTCTTCTTCCGCTACGGTCAACGCTAGGACGAGAAAGAAGAAATGTGCTTTCGAGGAGAAATGGTGAGAACGTGCTAGTGTTCAACGCTACACGTTGTTGGTTTTCAGAAAACACAAAATAATAATGTCATTTCTTCATGGAATTCACGGCAGGAGCGTGCAACTATCCTCTGGTGTGATTTTGAGGATTTTTTTCTAGCGCATGTCCTTCCAGGCATTGCAAAGACCAGCAGAAAGGTGTTGCTTCGTCACCGTTGAATTCGTCCTAACTACACTGTGATGTTGACAGTTTTTATAGTTCGTGTGAGAATGCTATCGGATGACTATTTCTTTCTTTGTTTTTGTCGGACCTCTTTCATTGCGCTCTTCCTCCAGATCTTGGAATTTTTCCATTTGGCTGGGTCGCACCTGGAGGTGTATGGGCGACGGACGCGTGGTTAGCCAGTGTCGAATGTTCTCCAAAGAGGATCGTACGGCCTCCGGAAGTCCTGCTAACATTCACACCCGAGGTGTATTTGTCGGACGTTGTCGACCGCTACATGTACTCCGTCTCGCCCCATCCCGGATGCACACCTACTATTCGTTCGGGCCCGGCTCAAGCAGTGCGGCTCTGGTTTGCGAGGAGTGGCCGCGGATTCCCTTGTCGACCGTGTAGCAAATGATCATCTCAGTAAGTCTGAATTGTTACAAAACTGCCTCCCGACGGTTTCTGCGGCGAGTTGAGAGAGAGAGAGGGGGGGGGGGGGGGGGGGGTAGCGGGTGATGAACGATGTTTCAGTATGTTTTACCACCTTATTGTTGAGACCCGTGTAGGAATTTGAAATGTCGGTGGGGGGGGGGGAGGATTCTCTCGGTTTGGCGTTATGCTCGTGCATGTACTGACACAGCCTTGTGTTGTAAGTCCGTCGCCACTGTTCTGCGAGTTTCCGGGTGCACACATGTTTGAGGTTGACGCCACCTTCAATCCATAACCCAGCCCGTTACTGCAGGTCGTCCGTCTTGCTTGATTCTCGGAGACTGAGTTTAGAAGTTTTCCGTTTCGAGTAAGTAACTTGGTTGTTGGATACATAAAAAATAAAAAAAAAAAATTTCACGGTTCGCGTCAGACTCGGTTTCTCTATATAGAGGCCGAGTTTTCCGCATCCGTAGGAACGCCACCACCCTTCAAGGATCAAGGCGCAGATGCAGCTCCTGAAGCGGTGGGAAGTGAGTAGATCAGCTCACCAGCATGTGGTCAAAGACCGAAAATCCCATTCACTGCATTGGATACATACATCAACGACAAAAATGTCCCAACTAATCACTTTGGAGGGGTGTACATGAACAATCATGTACAGTGGTCCCTCTATAATCCGGCACCATTTGTGCCACGGAAATCTGCTGGATTAGGGAGGGTGCTGGATTAACAAATCTGATTTTTTGCTACAACGTGCATGAAGAGGACATTTTGGCTACTGAAAATTGTGCTGGTTTATCGAGGGTGCTGGATTATAAAGTGCTGGATTAGAGAGGGACGACTGTACAATGTTACAGTGAAAATGATAAGGTATTTTTGTGGCGATACAGAAGTGAGTCTAGGTCGTTGTTTCGGATCCCTCCACTGTTCACCTTCACGCTGTTCCGGGTGGATGTCGTAAATACTAAATTCAGCGCTGAAAGATTAACGAGTCGATTCGAACATTTCCCATCACGTGACAACAGTGGCAGTGGTAGATATGTTGCCTCGAGTGTGCTTATCCCCATATGATTTTATGCTTTCGTTTAGGTTTTCTTGAGTTTCTTCTCTTCAGTTGTTTCTGCGTGTGTGGTGTGAATACACTTCTACCCTGCCACTGCATGTCTGTCTCGTAGCGCTTCCAGCGATTTTTCTAGAAAATACTTGACTGACCAGGAGCAGTCCAGTACCCGTCACAATGTTGTTAACCATTCAGCGAAGAAAAGATTTAGTGCCACGCGTCACATCATCCACTTCTCCAGTACTGATCTGGGTCATTGACTGTCTAGTCTGTGCAAGTGAATCACTGGCACAGTCAGACCTCGCTTATCGGGTCCTCTTTTATCCGGATCCCTCGCCATCCGGACGAAAATCGTTGATTACCGATTTACAGCATATGTAATGCATATATACAGCATGTGTTCGATTATCCGGTTCCCTCGCCTATCCAGATATTTTTTGTGGAAAACGGATGTGTGCGGTTAAACGAGGTCTGACTGTAATCGGATTGATCTTACTTCCTAGACCAACAATCTAATGGCAGACAGTAATGTGAAGTATGTTATGAAACTACTTTAGATTCACATGTGACCAGTGATGAGAATGATGCCATTGATGCACTGTAATCCTGTTGGGTAACTATGGTAACACCAACATGCCACTATCTATGCATGCATGAACTCCGGAGTACATGACAGGCAGTCACCTGTCACGACCAACACATACAGTAGTTCCAAAAAGCGCTCATGGATGCCACACTTCATGTGGTGTTTTATGGTGTTCTGTGACGCTGCCTGGCAATCGCCATGTTCACATTCTGTGTCTGTTCTGCTAATGTGTGCATATGCCACGGTGGGTGAGCTGTGAGTCCATGAGAGCATACGAGAACGTACTTGCCTTTGCTTGTCCGTATGTGGAGCGTGTATGCTCTACTATACAGATCACACCATTCGTGCAGCCCGCCGCCGGCAAGCTCAGGTCATGTCGGCTGGCATTGCAGTGGATATTGTGATGTGGGAGTAAGGCGTACTGACTAGAAGGTTACGTGAACTTATGCTTTCTTCTCTTCCTCTTCTTCTTCATGACATGGGTGGCCAAAGCTTCGACCAGTAATTGATACCTGATAGTTTCAATATAATTCTTAGATCCCCCCCCCCCCCTACCTTCACCACACACACACACAACAATAGGAGTTAGCAGAATCTCCTCAAACAAATGGCTGCGTGTTCAACCATCAGCAGATGAGTTCTATGGCTTGGAATCATTAGTACCTAACCATGACTCAGAGGAGTATCAGCAGGCTCAATGTCCGAGATGTGACGTTTCTGCCAGTGCAGAACCATGCTGCAGAGCAAAAAGTCTCAGCTGGGCGACCTCTAGAAACCATCATTTGTATTCGAAGGAAGGACATTCGGGCAGTCGGCTGCACAATAGTGTATCACGTGGAAGCAAAGCGTAAATAAGAAGCGGAAAAAATGGCCCTCTCTCCTTACGCCAGGCCTAACAAGGAACAACCCCATTCTGTCGGCTGCATGTTCATACGCAAAATGTTCTTGGCATACTCCGTGATTAGTGATTAACCATTGCTTATGTTCTGTAAATAATAATAAATAAATTCGACGGGTTCACTTACCGGGCAGGTCAAGAACAAGGAGTCGTACAACTCCCTGGTCAAGAACCACCTTTCCGCTTCCGTGGGACACCACCACCCCATGATCAGGCGTCAGATGCGGCTCCTAAACGGTGGGGGAGGATAGATCAGATCCACCAACAATAGGCCAAAGGTCTCAATCCCATTTGCCACATCCATGTATTACTCATGCCAGGCCACGAGTTCCCAATTAACTGTGGGTCGCAGCACGGTTGGAAAAAATCCTTCCGCTTCCAAGCAGGACTAATAG